TTAAGTCGCAAAACGTCCGAGCTCGTGTTACTTTAAACTCCGCATGCTCAGTGTAGTGTTGCTATGGATTACATCATTTGTTTATCCAGATTTTCGCGGGAAGCCAGGAACGATTCGATTCCGATGAATTTTCGGCCTTTTAGACCACTGTTCGTCCTCAAATCAATACAAAGTCGTCAGCTGTTTTGAAATACAACACGAGGAACAAAATGGTCGCCATTTCTGAAGATTTGCGCGACTTCTGTCAGTTTAAATTAAGATTTAATTCAAATTTTACTCTTGTTACTCACTCGAAATAGAATAACTTTCGTTCTGTTTGATATTTTTGCTTTATATTTAGTAAAGATTTAGAACATTTATCATATATTATGAATTAAAGAAGCCGGAGCTGTGTATCAAATCCCTAGAATTTTACGGCCCATTTCGCWGATCATCCCAGAAAAACCGAAATATTTTTTCTTTCACTCCGGTTTCTTTAATTCTTATGAAGGTTCAAAAACAGTTTATAAAAAAGTTATTTTTAAGCTCATGTTGTTAAAATCTGAAGAGATATTTACGTTTTTTAAAAAAAGTTCTTCAGGATGCCTGTCTTGTTTTCACACCTTAGGTGTGAAATCTGGCACTCTTAAATTAACATTTCGAAAAACAATTTTATATACAAGCTAGTTATCAAGTTCAATTTGGTCTAAAGTGAATACAGTTTGAATAGTTTTTTTTCAAATGACACCCACTTTTGCCAGTCCTAGTACCTTGATATATCGACTTATTGGTATGAATAATTTTAAGCAATCTACTAACTCGAACTGAACCTAAAGAGTGTTTCTAGTTGAAATTTAGCGTTTCTGCCGTTTAGGCATTTTAAGAAAGATCTACCCTCATGTCACATTCAACTTTTTGATTTCATTGAATTCATGTCTGAGGAGTGTGACCACCTATTAGTTGATCAGACGACGACAGCAAGCCCCAATGAGTCAATAAATAAGTTTTTAGACATTTATCATTGCATCTGTACTTTCTCTGTATAAGTTCGACATTTTTGATTCAAGCAATGTTCTGCTCRTGATATAGGGATGTTGGTTAGGATGATATCAGGACTTCATGGTCATGGCATTGCAATGCAGATACTGCTTCTCACCGTCRTGGTAACTGTAGTAAACTCGATCACAATTGATGAGCTTCTGGTCAAGTTCGATGATATGAAGTTAACTCTTCATGCAGTTACTAGACAGATGTTGATGCAACAGCTTTACCTGGACGAGAGAGTGCGATCCGAAGCTGATTCAGGAGTAAAGCAAGTACGACACGAAAACGGCGGAACACGAAATTACTATAAAGCATCTCATTCCAGTGCAAAGTCTGCCATAGCCATACATGATCATTCTAACTACGTGGATACTGCAGGAATTGGCGAATTTGTGGCTGTTCTKAATGGTATTGAATTTCGCACGAGACACAACGACTACCGATTGAAAATGCCACACGAAACTAGCAGTGAAGTTCACGAAACCCAGAGCATTCCTTTTCCTGGRGTGCCTCCAGAGGTTACCCACCAACCCASTGTCGATGCTCAGGTCCAGGAGATGAGAGAATGGTTCAAGGCTTGGAGCGATCAAGATCACTCTGTGAGAGATTATCGAAGGTATTTCAAACCTATACTCTGTTATCTTGAAGGAGCTTGGTTCATTAAAACTGAAGGCAAGATAGACGAACCTTTCGAAAGTGATCGCCATTTCGTGGACGCCAGTAGCTGGTTTGACCTGGCAGAGAAGATTCGATTCACTTCATACAGTGGTCGYAAGGACACTCTGGAAAACTATGCMTATTTACCAACAGCCATAATGAATGTAACTCACGATGGTCGACCAGTATTGGCACAGTGGAACTATCGCATCTTGTGTCATCCCGTGAGCAGAGACGTCCCACTCAATAGGCTTCGARCTGAGGAAGAAGTTGGACTGCGAATGTCTGCTTCAAGAACCTACACTGAGCATGCGAGAACAAGGGCAGCAAGATTTCAACTTAACTCATTTGATACAGATGAATGGAAAGATCRTAAGAACCGAGAAAGATGGGGTCTTCTTGACGAGTTGATGAGCGAGGTACAGTTTCTTAATCTTTTTATTTGAAATGATAATGAATAGTACTAGAGTGCAATATCAATGAAGTCACCTTCGGTTAGAAGACATATATGGTGATCTTTACCTTATTCGGAAGTACTTTTGGTGATTTTCTCGATTCTTAAGCGTCTAAAGTGTGCAGATGTTGTAGTGAATAGATGTTTTCTATAGTCGTTTATTTGTTTTTCTACACATGGCGTAGATTTAGCGGAAAAAAGTCCTCCCCCACCTCCCATAATGGGATGTTTACATAGCTCATGTATCCGGAAGTCCCGCAATTTATCCTTCTTACAGGTGCTGAAAATCTARYTAGTTCTCAGMAAGGAGTAATTTTATGATGATAATRAGAATGATAATATATTTTTTTTGGTAACAAGTTATTATATTGGCTTTCAGATCCCMGGTTTGGATAACTATCAAGGCGAATTATATGATAATGAAATTCATTCTGAAGCTTTTACAATAAACCCTAAAAAACCGTCGGACTCGCGATTAAGAGCAGATCGCTAYCATAGGTGCTTCAGGGTGGCCGACAAAGATGCMATGGGTTCCTCTGAAAGATGTCGTGGATACTCAGACAGTGCTCTTTWCATGGCAATGAACACCCAGCCAAGCGTCGCTGGCATGAATTTCAAAGTATGTAAGAAAGAAAAAGGCAGCGAYGAAGTTTGTAATKTGTTCAACCAGAAATGGTCATACGCTATTCCTTTGGAGATCATCTATCTTACCCCCTTGAATTCCTGGAATCCTTATGACTTAGAGTTTAAAGGAAAGGCAAGCAGTGAWCTTGGTAAGACCGTTGTTGCTGATGGGCGWAACGGTGATGCCACACTTGAAAAAGCCTTCGATGGAACAAACAGCGGAAGGTATTATCARATACCCGTGTCCTTYTTCTCYGGTAATGAAATTGGCACTGGACTTGCAGATACGACGAAAAACTCTGTTGGAGTATTGGATAAAAAAGGTAGAAGGATTTTTACATAGACTTGCTACAAATCGTTCTTCTGCTTCGCACCAAAAKYTCGAAGGGGGGAGGAGGGAGGCGGACCATATCATGTTAATGTATAGTCGCTGCTTGTTTGCAGTGTTTTCTWCAAAAAGTAATGGAGAGGAAATTTGGAGGATTATTGGGTGGAGTCCCTTCCTTAAATTTGTACGRAATATTTTCGGAATATTCTTCATGGCCCTTCGTTATCAATCGAATTCCTATGCTTTCTTTAATATTTCTTCAGTTCTAGTTTTTCGTTACTTTAACTGTTTATATAATATGGATTACTTTTAAGGTAATCTCAGAATCTGCAAAGCCAGTGGAATAAGGATCTTCTTCCCGCTTATAGAAGGAGTCGGGCTTCTTCGCCAGAGATATCCTATTTTCCCTGTCCATGGAGAAGGGAGCTCAGTTTGGAAAGAGCTCAATGCACTGAAAGATCTGGTTGTCAAGTCCAAGACAAATKCCTATGTCTTCCAGGAGCCATTGTCAGCAGGTGGCGAATCCCCTGTGGCTCCGCCAGAAAAAGACACAAGAATGCAGATGACATTGTCAAAAAGCGACAAAACCACTAATCATAACCATGAATTTTTTGTTACAAAATCACAGGTTAGGACCCATTGCTCATTTACATGTATTGTTTATATAATTATACAGCCGATCTTGAAAAGTTTCTCCACCTAAAAGGACATTTTCAATGTTTCAATTGTCACGTGTCTTGATATATCTATTCAGTTTCTAAAGGAAGAAACTGAATCTCTGTACATATATAATTACAAAAATGCCTCTAATTTCTCCACTAAAACATTCTACACCATTTGACACGAACAGAAATGTTTTCAAAAGTCAAATGACAATTGGAACATTGGAAATGCCTTATGGGTGGTCAACATTTTTTTGCTATAGTAATGTATTACATCTTGATTCTGAAGTATAACTAATTCAGAAAAAATTACTTCGGATCGCAAAATATGCCAAATAATCAAGCTGACTTGCAAGACTGAAAAGGATTTTTTTTCTTTTTTGGGGTACTAAGAAACTCGATAAAAAACTTGTCAGAGCATGCTATATTGTAGCAATACTCAAAGAAGGGCCAAACATTCACAGTACACACTATTAGGGAGATGAAAAATTGTTATATAGGGATAATAAATTACTTCATACTACCGTTCAGTCTTAGCTTAGATGATGTAATCTTCTTAAATCCGACTACCTTTTTTCAAGTAAGATACAACTATTTCAGAAAACGTTGAATACCGAATACTGTATTCTGCACAGTGCATTCAAGACCACATTAATGCATTATTGCGATTAAACATTATGTTACTGCCTTAAGTAGTAAAAATATCTAAACTTTATTGCAGCAATGTGTAGTTCCAGACTGTATGGGGCTGCTATAGTCCCTCTGAAACAACGAAAACTCATTTTCAACGGCCATGGAATGACCACCAATGCATTTCAGTCTTGGAATACACTATTTTCATTATTCAACGTTTTCTGTAATAGTTGTATATGTAAAGAATGATATTGTTAATTAATTATTTTTAATTTAGATAAAGATGATGCTTGATGGGGCAGTTATCAGAGTAACAACCACCAAGGCGAATTCCCATCAGCACATACTCAATCTAAAGTGGGGTYCCACTGCCAAGAAATGGGTGATAGTACAGTGCGATGACGGGACGTCTGACACACAAAAAACTCGATGTTGGGACAAGCATGGMACYTATCCAGTTGTTCTTTTTGACGAGAAATAGATAATAGRGAAAACCATCTGGGGTTTGAATATATTGAGATAAGGGGATTAAAACCTTTTGGTTGAGGATTTTATCGTTTAAATCAAGAATGAAGGTGTGAAAATTGGAATAAATGAAAGTTACAAATCGCTTTATCCTACTGTTTTTGTTGGTAAAATCTAACAAAGTTATTGATGCAAGGGCATCCCATACCCTTCTTCCTCCTTCCAGACAAAGGGGATAAAAAGAGACCTAAGCAAAGTCACACGCATCAAGCGGACCATTTGGGCGTCGAATTTAACAGTGAATGCTAAAAAAACTCGCTGCAACTGACCAAGATTTTTTTCTTGAACTTTTGCAATGGAGGAAGTTTTATATTGCTTGAAATCAAAACTTTTCCAATACCTAACTGTAATAGCCTTTGTTTTCGAAATGTTAATGTCGAATACTCTGAGCGAGAAGAAATCGACGGTTTTGTTGTTGTTGTTGTTGTTTGTTTGTTTTTTTATCTCGGAGTATCATTTTTTACTTAATTTTTTCTGTCTTGATCTCGGATCGGATCGAAATCTATCTGATAGTTTCAATCTCGAAAATAAAAACCTCTTGCTTTTCTATTTTTAGGAAAATCTCGCAGGACCATTCGCCAACTGATTATCAACGATAAGTAAACCACTCTTTCAGTCTACATACAATTTGTATAAATAACATCATTTACAGAGAGCTTTTGCACGAACGGGACATTCGTACCTACGCGCAATTGAAAATAAATTGCCGTTAAGAGTTTAAATACAAGTCTACGCTAAACTCCTCCTTGTGGCAAACTAGGGCATTGACCCATTGACGAAATTCAATACCGACACCTTGTCCTCTCATCACTAGGACACCTGTGAATAACCTTAAAAACAAAATGATTTGCTAGTATGAACAGTCAATGTTGTTCCCTTTATGTTCATAAATAATTCATAAATTCCAACAGATACTTGAATCGCTGAGAACTAACGGTTTTATGCGGTTTGGAAAAACAGGGACTTATTTTTTTTACCTAAGATGTAGAGTCTGTTTCCTACAAAGATAAAACAATATTTTAAAAGGTATTGGTGATTTGTTTTTATTGTGTTTATGTAACATTTGATTGTTATTTATTGGTATATTGATTGACTAGCTTTTATTATTAGGGAAATCTTTGGATTTACTTTGCGATGTGGAATTTTAAGACGTTGTACATCCTGTTATTGATTTCACTTGGATCTGTTGAATTACGCGTATTGAATAATAAAGGTAGGCCTGTGAAAAAATCTCCAATGTTTTGAGTTATGATAGAGATTGAACCAGTAACTATTTGTTAGACAAGTGGGCGTATATATATAGGTTTGTATAATGGCCCATTCGTTTGTTTAGAAATAAGGACTTTGTTTTGAAATTTCACGTAATATCGTCAATCATGTAGTGAAATGCAAATTTCAAAAAATTCCCTTTTTCTTTTGAATGATTAGAAATAAATATGCATTCTCAATTTCATTTTCGCAATTTTTTGTAAGCAACAATTAGACCGCAAGGTCGACTGGACTACGAATTGAAAGTTCCATGTGGTTTTGTTGGACTGAAAAGACTATCAACTCGTACGTAGCTCACGAGACTGAMTGGTCTAATCGTAATGTTTCAATATCCACCAAAACATAAGGAAAATATGAAAAAAACACAATAAATTAAAAACTTTTCACTACATTTGTCGAATATTTTTCTTCTTTTCATGCGACCATCGTCTATCACTGTGAATATACCATAGAATTAGAATGCTGGATYTATGATAGGCCATAGTTTGGCGGAAGTATTAATTTGCATTTTACACTCTATACGCTGAATTCTAATATAAACCTCGTTTCGTTAGCTAAAAAACAGGCCAGATATTATATCGAGCGAATATCACTTGAACCAAAAGAGCCTTCAGGTCCACACTTACACGATAAATATTACACCTCGAATGGAGAAGAATTAATACACCCTGATAAGAACGAGAAAAAGTCTTCCCCTTTAAACGATGACGAGAAGTCATCGAAAGGTGAGTGGAGCCTTCTGGCGATTGTTTAATGACGAACGAATTGTGGTTGTTGTCAAATAGGCAACCGATTTCCTGATTGAATAGATTGAAAGGATAGATATTGATGATGCTATCCGCCCTTCATTAGTGGAAAAAGGCTGCTTAATAGTGCTGCGCGCGACCGAGACACCTTCAGGAGCAACTCTAGGTTTTCTCAAAACGCCTACACATTCGACATAAAATCATGAGATTTTCTGGTCTTTGCATCTTGAGGTCGAAGCACATTTTTTTTTTCTTTTTTGAGGATTTCTATTACTAACTAACAAAGCAGGTTACATAAAAACAAAGCGACAAAAAATAGAAATGGAATTGTATTTCGCTTTCTTTGAGGGAAAAAAAGCTGGAAAACAAGGTAGAGAACGAAGAAGAGATCCACATAGTTGATAGACGCAGCGCTCTCGTTGTCTCGTCTTCAATTTAGTGGTTTTCCACCTTCGGCCTCGTGGGCTATCAGCACGTAGTCCACTTACCCTCGAGGTCTAATTGCTAAATATAAACTATCAACATGGCGTCTATTCATCCAAGGCCAAAATCGAAATTTGATTAATTTGTGATATTTTAGCTTGCAAGGCAAAACTTGATCTGGGGTTTTTGATCGATGGATCTGCTAGCATCGAGATGTATGGAACAGGGACGTTCCAGAGTCTTCTAAACTTCATWAAAACTGTGACCAAAGCATTTGATGTGTCACGTGATGGTACACGTGTAGGCGCCGTCAGCTTTTCTAAAAATAGCTCATTGGACTTTGACTTTGACGAAAACACAAACAGAAAACAACTTGAAAGAGCAATTGATAAAATAAACAACACAGGGTTTACGACTTTTACCGGAAAAGGACTSAAATTTGCATCAGAAAAACTTTTTAACTCAGCGCGCAAAGGTGTTGCCAAGGTTCTGGTTGTCATGACAGACGGTAGATCAAACGATGACGTAATTAAACCCGCTCAACTCTTAAAAAACACTGGAGTTCGAATAGTGACTTTAGGACTTGGRACAAACTTTGACATTAACCAGCTAAAGGCTATTGCTAGTAAGCCTGACACACGTCACGTGATCACTGTTGACTTCCCACAACTGACTGACGCGACTGGGACACTACAAGACTACATATGCAAAGGTATATTCATTAACACAAGAACAAAACGCTAAATATCGTATGCTTTCGCGCAAATAAATGACCGAAACACGGTAATTAATGAATACGTGCTTTTGATTAGTGTTTGCACCAAAACGCTAATGAAGGTTCCATCGCCTTCTTGAGACCCTCTTTGCACTTTTTTTTGTCTGTTCGCCATATAATGACAATGCGTGCTCACYTAAATGAACATTTCCTAGATGTTAATTAAAACCAAAAAGAGACCAAACCAACCGTACCTTCTCATGGTTCCTTCTTTAAAGATAGCCGTGCCTATGCATCGAAGTGAGACGATTGTTGAGCGTGCAATGATAGATACCTGCGTATATTTGTCTTTATGTGAAAGAAGGTTTCTATCATTCCACTTTCAACGGTCATCTTGCTTCGAAACAAAGGATGKCGCAGAGAACAGTGAAGGAGATTWTTGATCGAAGTATGTTTTTATTTTCAGCTGCTCACGATGAACCACCAAAGAGCATTAGTAAGTTCCTTATTTCTATTTAGAGCTGTAAATGCGCTTAGTTTAATTTAGTGTTGTTTGTAGCCATAGACCTAATACCAAGTTAATAGCAGTCAGGGTTAACGTCCATAGTTATCACAATCAACTAATACTTAAGACAATCAACTAATAATTGTTTATTGTCAATAATGTGATGATGAATAAGATATCTTGATAACCTGAACAGAATAATGGTGGGCAAGGTTAAGTGACACTCTTGACTTCCTAGCATCGCATTCAACTTGTGGCAATAGAAAAACTATTGTATGGATAATTAGCTTATCAATTCGGAAATATTAGTTCTTTATTCATTTGATATAAAAGTAGTATTAATTAAACATCCATTGAAAACGCTACACAACAGACAAATTATCATTAACACCTCAAGGACAAGCAATGCCAGAAAATCTCCCCTCATCATACACGCCTGCTACGCCACAGCAAGGAACACTCGACCGCCGTCAGGGTGGAGCTCAGGTCACAACAAGCACAGTAAGCAGTGGAGGTAGTTTTAGCAGCAGYAGTAGCAGTGGTGGATCTGTTTCCGGAGGAGCATCTGCAGGAGGAGGTAGCTCAAGAGCTAGTAAGTAGAGCTGCAAGACCATTTCCAAGAGATGATCCTGACGTGACATGACATGACGTGACATAAGATGACAATGGTACACTGCAAAACAGAAAGCAAAAAAAAAATAAATAACTCAATCATCGAAGGAAAGAAATGATTTTTGTATTTCCATGAGTAAAGGGCAACAACATACGGCTCATGACAAGAAGACAAGGGTACACTGCAAAACAGAAAGCAAAACATAATTAAACAGCTCATCCAAAGACAGGAATGATTTTTGTATTTTCATGAGTTTAGTGAATGTAAAGCACATCTGATCATCATAAATTGATAAAAAGAAGATTACAAAGGCAATTTTCATATCAACTAGAGATAACAACGACGACAACAGCACAACAACAATATCAACGACAAGCAAGCACAAGATAAAATACAACACAGTCCAAAATACTCATGCCATACTTATTGAGTAAGTCGACAAACAGTCCAAAATACTCATGCCATA